GTACAATGTGCATTTACTGTATTGTCTGAGTGTTCATTTTGACTATGGAAGAGAAACCAAATGAAATTTATAAAACACATAAGGCACATTAACTATAGATAAGTTAGTAACCAGTAAGACACGTTAGATTTAGATAAGCAGACACATGTGCACACAACACAGAAATGGAAGGAGCAAGAGGCACTTAATACTCTTCTTTAGCCTAACACTAAATATCCTTATGCTCCAGAGGCATTTTAAATCCTTAACTCTTAAATTGGCCAACCATTGGTGACGCCCATTCCAACCCCACAAGTATTCTGACCAACTAGTGAAAATAAATTTCGTAGCTCTTCTTCAGGCTAAGGAGAGCTACTTTTGTGGCCAGAAATACTTGCCCTTGGTGTCTCAGATTGAGCAAGCCTGTGTGATTGTGTCCACATACCTTCTTTCTGCAGAAGCCTTGCCCTAATTCAATCACAAGTTCTCATCCTCAATCCTTGTCCTTGGTTTTTGTAACCACATCATGCATCAGAGAGATGGGTCACACGAACATTACGCCGACCCTTTCTATCCCACTTGCACCCTAACCTAAGTGCATAGCGTGACCCAGCCCATTCTCCATGTTTTGTGCCATGTGTTTCATTAATTTGATTCTAGCATCTTAATTTGATCTGTGAGTTTTTCTGTTCAATTGTTTGCTTGTGTATATGGAGGTAGTGCTACCTTTGCATTAAGTCATTTCGCAGGAACTTAACCTTCTAAAATTCTCAAGGACACCTTCTAGGCGTTTAAATCAACCACCAGGAATTGCTTAAGGAGAAACACCACCAGCTGCTTCTTTTCTTTTTTTTTTTTCTGCTGGTTCTTTTCAATCAGGTTACACTTCAACCTCACACCAAGGAACCTATTCAAATGCCTACATTTCGATATCCTTAGTCAACCAACTTCCTGTGCCAGAAGCTTTTGTCTGTCCCAATTGCCTTTTTTATTTAACAAATTCCCTTATCTCCTGCTTGAGGCAAAGCTCACATGGCCCTAGTAGCACAATATTTACTAAATGCCCTCCCCCACTTTGCTGCCCCTGTCTGGCAGTCGCCTGCCTTTACCTTGGGTTTGCAGTCATGGCCTGTTTTTCCCCCTGCGGATACCAAGTTTTCTGAATAGTACGGTCAGTCAGAGCAGAATTAAACTTGTCCTTTATCCCAAGAATTGGATGCTTGAAATTCACTAAGCAAAGTATATACTCCTCCCACTTCTGAGCTTTGAATCCAGACTGTGATATTCAGAAGACCTGGGCCATTCCATCCAGTGTGCTTCTCCCCTTCAGGTACAAACTGAAGTGGAAATACAAGCTGAAAATCAACACAAAGTAGTTTTTAAAAGCTAAAATATAATAATGAAAATATGACATTGGAAGTAACAACCACCTCCTTTTGGGAGGAGAATGGAGAAGGATTTTTTAAGGGATGTGAAAAGATGGAGAAACTGGACGGTGAATTTATAATTAATTTCATTTTCAACTTATCTCCTCCTATACTAGTATATTATATATTCTTGGTGATCCTGTGACCAAAGGGCTAAGCTGAAAAGCTTTAAATTGGGTTTGTACCTCTCCTAACTCTTTTTAGGAAATCTCTTCCGGCTTTTATGGTGGCTTACTTATACAGATAGTGAATTTGGCTCTGAGTTTTATTAGCTTAATTCTCAAAAAGCAAATTTTTTTTACCGTCTTAGGTATTCACTACACATTTAAAAAAAGTTTTTAAGAACATATAGACTATAACTTGTGTTTTTTAAATCACTGTTATCTAATAGTGCTTTAATACATTAGCCAATTAACGAGTTCTCATCTAACCATGAAATCAGCAAGAATAAAAGGAATGGCCAATCCAAAAATAGTGTGCAATTTCAAGTATGAATTTCAGTTTCCATGGTTTATGAAAACATTTTTCTACATTTTAAAACATGTCTTAACATATTTAAATTAAGCGACAAAATGTTAATAGCAACATAATTTGTGGTAGCAAATAACCAAAACAGAAACAGCTAAAGTTGTAGTACATATGTAAGATGTCATATTATACAGCAATTGAGTCAGATCTAAATATACTGATATGGAAAGATATCTATGATATATTTTTAAGTAGAAAAAGCAGGCTGCAAAACAAAATGCAAGATATAATTTCATATTTGGATGGGGGAAATGTGTTATAATTCTGTATCATGTGCATGCATAAAAATGTCTAGAAAGACATCTAAGTTATGCTAACAAAGTTAACTGTATATAATTATCTTGGTTTAATATATTACAAATAGGTTGGTTTTTTTTGTGTTTTGTTTTTTTTAAGGTGGTGACTAAAGTCACACTGAGATGTTAGGAAGAACCAAAAAACTTAATTTTTCCCTTCTTCAACTACCTGAATTTTACTCTTTTCTTCATATCAGAAATGTTTTGGTAGAGAATATTTGAGAAAGAAACCATCTAAACCTTGGCTAATATATTTAAGGAAAATAGGGAATCTTATTGTTTTTAAATGTAATTAATTTTTAGGATCTTTCCAAATAAATACTTGGTGCCAAAAAAATGTATTCAAATGGACACTTTGGTCAACGGTGCTCAAGCAGTAGTTCTCCATAATCAGAAGTGTCTTGACGCTGATAACCACTTTGAGCACCTCTTGTAGTAGCGAAAGTCAAACGTGACTTGTATTCATCTTTTGTTATCGTTATATAATTTTAAGTTTTCTATTCTTAAAATGTGTATACATTTTTTTGGCACCCTCTGTACATCTCTAAATTCTGACATTCAAAGGAGTTGAAGATGTAATAAGTGGGGGGAAAAATGGCTTTTGAAAAAGGATTTGTGGTATAATCTTATGTCTCCATTAAAATTCACATAAAACCACCCATATTATATATACTAAAATATCTGTAGGAGTAGTGTTTATCACTGAAGAGATTACTAGATTCACTTCATTATGTATTTCTCTTCTCTATTGCTTAAATTTGTTTTTAATAACAAGTTTCTTCTAGTTTTGCAATCAAAATGTCCAATCTTTTAAAAAGATAAATCAAGGGCCGGCCGAGTGGCTCAGTTGGTTAAGAGCTCACTCAAGAGTGCAAGCTCTGAGCAACAGCGGTTTGATGCCCGGCCCAAGCTGAGCTGCCGCTGAGCTGCCGCTGAGCTGCCGCTGAGCTGCCGCTGAGCTGCTGCTGAGCTGCCAACAGGTGGTAGGATGGCTCAGCTAAAAAAATAAAATATAAGTGAAAAAGGCAGGTGACAGGAACAGTGAGATCGGTTTTTTAAGTCACACTCAAATCTGCTAAAAGGTGGTGACTTACAGAATGGCATTTCGTGTACTATTTTCATTGTTCAGTGAATGCTTTCTGTTTCCATTATCTACTTGGTCCATAATAAATATAGTGCTTGGCACAAAACTCAAATATCTTGACAGTTGAAAAAAAATAATGTGTTATCCTTAGGTCTTGGCAGAAATTATCCCTGACTTCCTTCCTCTTTTGTCAAATGTCTAGATAATTGTATTAGATAAGATTATAGAGCAACATTGGAAAATTAGAGGAACCATAAGGAAAATGACCAAGAAAACTGCTCTGGTTATTCTCTGCATCTCTGCTGCTTCAGAAAGCCAGAGTGTTTCCATTGAACAAGAAGGCAGAGTAGTGAATGAAAAGTGCTCCTAATCAGATCAATTTGAGGCAAGCCAGGATGGGAAAAGGACAGTAGAAAAAGGGTTAGTATTGTTTATAGAGGGTTGCTTACATCCTTCTAAGCTGATAAGTTTACCTGGGGGGTGGGGGGGTGGGGGTAAATCTACTTCAAACTAGCCCTAGAATTTACTTAATATATTGGTCTCTAGTCCAATTTTTTAAAATGTTAACATTAACACATTTGTAGATTCATACATTAAAATGACACATTAAATTGTACTGTCTACAAATTTAAGTATCATAAAAATAAAAGCTGGCATTTTATTAGTGTTTAAAAAGAATTTATTTCAACATAGTTCCTTCTATCAGGGTATAACTGTACTGAAGAGCAGTCACAGAACCTTTCAGGACTTATAGGGTGAGAATCCATTATTTGCCTCTTTCCCAGATGCCCTTTGTTCAGCCCCTTTAGAAACCTAGGAGCTCTGCTTATCACTTTCCCTAGTCCAAATCTTCCAGATGGGGCACTCTTCTTCAACTGCAAATAACTACAAATTCTGTTTTAATATTACACACACAAGGAGAAAATGTTTGTTCAGGTTTAGTCAATCAGTCACATGGGTTTGTATCCCTGGTTACTTTTCCTTTACTCATTTCTAAGATAGTAAGTAGTCTTCCCAATGACTAGAGAAGGTTTCAGTTACAATATCCCCCCACATCAAAAATGCAAATAGACCCATGTTTAGCAAATTTTTACTCCTTGGGCCACTGGGTGAAATCAGAGTAGAGACAACTAAAGGTAAAATAGATGTTTTATTTATTTGTACTTAAACTTATAAACCAACCAGCCAAATTGGTACTATTGTCATAATACAGTAAAGTACAAAAACATCTTTTACAAATACTTAAGTAATAAACAAATTAGAGGTTGTAGTAAAACAGCAAAAGGGGCCGAGGAAATCAATGAAGCACATTATAGCTCATTAACCTCTCACCTGAGTTGAAGATTTTTTAACAAGGTTCCCAACCCCAGAAAAATGAATAATCCTTCATCACACATCTTCGTACTTTTACTTTCTATTCTCGAAATAAGATTCTAGGTCCTAAAGATATCCAAAATATTATTCTATCTAGTTATCTATAGCCAGAGACACCTTTTATCATTTTGTCTGCAGCAGCAAGGCTACAGAAACCTCGTTGGTTAGACTCCAGTTATACCCCATTCCCACCCCCCAAATTGACGCAATAAGCATAATAAGAAAGAAGCAGGATACCAAGGCAGAGATACATAGAAAAATCCTAGAAGTGATACAGTCATTGCCCAGATTGATTGCATAATATACCCATCGTCACATAGCGTCAGGCTGTATGTTCATGGAGTAATTTGGGAACAAATCCATGATTTGCTGGGTACTATAATACCTAGGGTTTTGCTGCATCACCTCATAGCTTTCCCCAGCAGTTTCCAAAGCGGCCTCCAAATCACTGACAGGTCGATTTTGCTGGAACTGGATCTGGGGCAGCAGGGCTTCCTCCCCACAGCCGTAGAACTGATTGTTCCAGGCCTGGTTGTTCCAAGACTGGTTATTCCAGGCTGGGGGGCACCAGGTCTGACTGTTCCAGGAATGGTAGCTCCAAGATTGGTTGTTCCAAGTTGGGTTATTGCAGGTCTGGTTGCTCCACACTGAAAAGTTTCCAGAAGTGTTCACCAGGCATCCCTGGTGACAGGAAGACAGGCCTGGGTACTCTGCAGTTGCTGAGCTCTTCTGAAAAAGAATAGTGGGTCAACTAACTGACAGGGTACAAGGAAATCAGAATTGTCTGTGCCTGGGTTTGTATGCTTCAGCAATGGACAAAACTAAAAAGCCACTTGAAAGGAAAGAGTAGAAAAATAAGTTTCCTGTTACCCGAGTCATACAGTCGCTGTTCTCTGGCCAGTTGTATTTCTGCCACCTCTTACATTTCATCCTCTGGTTCTGAAACCAGGTCTTAATCTGCAGGAAACAGATGACAAGAAAACACAAAATTCTAGAAATATAGATATGCTAGGGAGCAAATATTATTAACATTTTCCCCCTAATAACTACAACTATCTAAAGCTCAGGAGCAAAATTTGAATTTCTAGAGCCCTTTTTAAAATCTTGAACCAATATACTATGAATGAATATTCAAGCCTCTCAAGTCAGTTGGCTGATTTTTAATAAACCTAACTAGTTAGAGACAACACACTGCAAATCTACTGACAAGGAAGTGCACATTTAAATATCTGCTCATCTCTCTTTGGTTTACCCATGCCATTAGTCAGTTAAAGGTAATTAATCTGTTTGCAAAAAAGCCTCCCCTATATAAGCACATTACATTTTCATAATACTGGTGGTATTTTAACTCAAGAATTAAGAAATACACCACTAGGACAACTGTTTAGAAAATATCAAGTTATAGTGTGACACACAATAAAATTTCCACATGGTTTATAAGCTTAAGTTAGAAAATGAGAACACTGGAAGACCAGAACAGTACATATTATAAAATTACGGAATAGAGGACTTTCTAAGTATGGCACCAGTAATAGAAAACCATAAAATGTTTCACTGAAAAAAATGCCAATAAATGTATGAAAAATGATTAACCTCATTAACAACCAAACGCACACATAAAAACCAAAGGTACAATTTTTATTTTAATGAGAACTAGTGTTGGTTCAGGGACTGTCTTAACCTGAAGACAGGAGTGTGTGTGTGTGTGTGTGTGTGTATACATACACACACACACACACATATATATGTATATATATATATATTCTTTGATTAAGGTGAAATTGGAAATATTTTCACAATTTTGGTTTGTGCAATAGGAGAAAATGTTAAATAAATTATGACACATTCACACAATAGACTTAATGAAAGAAAGATGGTTATGAAACACGTTACAAAAACATTTGGTTTTCATATTGAAAATAAATTCTTTGTAGGAGACTGCATAGAAAGAGAGCAGTGCTAATCTGCAAATTAGTTTTATTTTTATTTCTTATTGCAAAGACAACAAAACAACTCTACCTGTTTGTAGCTAAGGTTCAGAATTTTGGAAAGTTCTTGCATCTGCTGGAGGCTGAGATATTTCTGTCTCTGAAATCTCTCATTGAGTATACCGAGTTGGGCCTGTGAGAAGACGGTTCTGATCTTCTGTTTCTTGACCTGGACCTTCCTTTCCTCCTTCACGGTTTTTTCTACAGAAGTAGGTAGTGTTACGCTGGGACTGGTGGAAGAATCAGGGCTGTTCTGCATAAGCAGATCCATGGAGGAAGGAAGAGGAGAGACTGCTGGGAATAAAATGATACTTGTCTCTAAAACTTTGCAGTTATTAAATTTGCAAATTTATTGTTTTCAAGCATTTTTCAAATCCTCACAACATCAGAGCAAGGTAGTAACAATTCTTAAGTCACCCTGAATACTTTGTCAATCTTTGTACAATCCGGTATGTGTACCAGTGTCACCATTTCACATATAATGGACGAGGCTAATTTGTTGGGGAATGGATTGGGACTCAAACCTCGTTGACTACATACGCTGCGGCTGTTTATAAAGGTCAAAACGTATTACTTGACTCCCACCTACCGTTTCCCTCTGTAACTTTCCTTTTGTAATCGTGATCATAACCTAATTTTTTTAACTAATATTCAGGTTCTTGGAAGTCTATAAAATCAACAGTTTACTGCCGAGTTCTAAATATGAGGACTAACAAACAGGTCATGTGAATTTTGATAGGCTTCTATTTCAACCCAGACTTTCCCTTGATTAACTCTGCGACCTTCTCCAAAAGTATTCCTCGCTCACTGAGTTTCTTCATTGATTAAAATGAGGTCACAGATAAAAATTGTCTAGCACAGGACCTGGCATATATTGACTTGGTAAATGAAAATTAATTTCCTGTGTTACTTAGATTTAGTAGGCACTTCAATTCTTATTTGCACTGAGGAATTCCCAGTGCTTAACTCCAAGTCTACCCTAGTCATGGTATGAATGCACAGGCTTTAAAAGGCAAAAATTCACAGCATCGTGCTTCTTGCAAGTAGATCTAAGGAGGAAAGTCCTCAACTAATGGCATTTAAGTAGGGTGTGTTCTAAAAAGTATCTATACAAACTTGCACTGACTTGCTAAGGTGGACATGCTCACTTGCTCATTCCCAAGATATTTCTCACAATCCAGTGCTGTATTTTCAATGTTTGAGATTATCAAAGGACATTAACACAAAGTTTAGGAAAACAGGGTAACATTAAAATCTAACACTCAAATGTAGCAGTTATTTTGTTTACTTATTCCTTCTCCACAACTTAGTTTTATTGCAAAAATGTGAATAGTTTTCAAGCTACCATTTTTTTAGTAGGTTAAAAATGGCACTCTTAAGGAAAAAGTTGATTTACCTTTTTATTTTTAACAACTACCGCCAAATTGATTCCCAAAAAAAGTAGTACCAGCTTCACAGTATCCCGAGCACCCCCCACACCCCCAGTTATCATTTAGAAGCCAAAGTGTTGATTTAGGAGATTGAAACATAGCATGTGCTCACAGAGCTATCCAATACCACTCACACCCAAAGGGTGGGAGAAAAGCCAACTACTACTGTTGTAGAGGTAAAACATTTCAACAAGGTAAGATTCATGTAATTAGCCACGCCATTTCTGGCACTCCCGGAAGACACGAACCAGAAAGGTGATGCTCACCACTCAAACCCTTGCCCTCACCCCAAGTTGTGATGTTATGACTTCTGGCTTAGCAATATTTATTGTTACTGTGTGCCCGGCACGATGTCAAAATTTATGCATCAGCTTATTTATCACAACACATTTGTGTTTCCACAGTGCCTACACATGTTAAGGTCTCAAATACTGGGGGTGCCAAAAAAATGTACACAAGTGGACACTTTGGTCAGCGTTGCTCAAGCAGTAGTTCCCCGTAATCAGAAGCGTCTGGACGCTGATGGTAACCACTTTGAGCACCTCTTGTAATTGCAGAAATCAAACGTGACTTGTACTCATCTTTTGTTATCGGTGTACATTGAGTATTACAATTTTAATAGTTTTCTCCTTTCTTAAAATGTGCATACATTTTTTTGGCACCCTCTGTATGCGGTATGCATTTGATCTGCTGAGTCGCGTGTCCCTAGTTTCAGACAACAACTGACACCTAGGACATAGGTGAAAGGACACGCGCCAAGTTACAATTGAAAGAGAGGTGTTGCAAGGATTAATAGATCACACCAGGTTCTACTAATGGGCTATAATTGCTCAAGAAGGAAAAGGATGGCCCATACCCCACTTCCCTTCTCTTTTAAGGAACTCAGGCTTACAAGAATTCAATTTTTTCTTACCAGTCTCCGTGTGGGGTGTCTCAGCAGGTGACATTTGCAAGGATGCATAATGTTCTTCAGGCCCAGAAATCTCAGGCACTGGTGAAGGTTCCCTGGAATTGGATGCTTTGGGGCAAGGCGGGCTTTGGGGAGAAGCCAGATCCACACTCATGTTGCTGAGTTGAAGGAGAGAGAAAAAAACCAACCAGCTAGGTTGTAAAGAAATGCCCAGGTTTAAGTATCTAGGTAGAAGAGCTTAGAGAAATAACGAAGGTCTCCAGATGTGGAAGTATCAAAAAGACGGAACAGAGTCACCTTTGCAGTAACAGGATCCAACCAACTCTATCTAGCAAAAGGTGAGAATTTTGTAGGCTCTAGATTTATAAGGAAGGCTCAACCAAATTTAGACCCGCCCCTCCTGGCAGCCCCACACCCACACCCACACCCACATCCACACACACCCTTGCGAATTCTCAGTTAATCCTGTCTGCCAGTCTCACCATGGCCATTGTAATGCAAAAGTAGCTGTGGAATAGCCCAGACTGGGTGAAGAACGAGAAAACGGGCCATGGAACCTGGAGATAAAATAAACCGAGCAATTAAATACTTCTAGATTCAGCATGTTTCCACCTTTAAAAATCAAAGATGTACCTCCACTAACTGGCTACCTCAGGTGATTGAAACTCCCAGTAACAATTAATTTCTAGATTTTGAGACCCCCTTAGGGTCTTGAAATAAGGCTAGTTATGCAGATACTTAAGCTTGCTGCATTTTCGTCTTTGATTCACCCTGAGGTCACAATAAAACATACTGCGTGTTGCTAGGGCATCAATTGATGTTAAAAATAGTACTTGTTTTTAACTTCCGCTGGAGTTCTTTCTAGTTTTTTAGCCTTCAGAAAGACAAGCTAGTTTTAAACAAAAGCCAGGGAAAAAATGCTGAGATCTGCTAACCTGGC